GTCGTTATTATATTGTTTTATAGTATGTAATACTTTTGTTATTTTTTCTCAATATCTGAATTATAAGGGAAAAAGGAATTAATGAGTTCCAGTTTTATAGTAGTGCCTTGTTATTTTTGTTATAGAAAGTATTATTTTAATACGTCCAGTTTTGATAATAAAATCTTTTATTTACCAAAAAGAAATGAGTTCTATTTAGCTGCTAATATTGGTGGAACTAACTTTCTCTAAGCAAAGGGAATTAAACTAGTTTTGATGGATGGAGTACTATGTACAAGGTTTAAGATTTTCGTGCATAAGATTTGAGAAAATCCATCTTAACTTTTATAAATCTAAAACTATATTAAGCATTTAATATACAGCAGTAATAATTAAAGTATAAATATCTTTTGACACTTCTTTAACATTTTATAGTTGGGACATGTTACGAGACAATAACAAGAAATTGTATACTTCTTAGCAGTTCCATATTATAATTATACAGTTTGACATGTTACGCGACAGTAACAAGAAATTGTAGACTTCTTAGCAGTTCCATATTATAATTATACAATTTGACATGTTACGAGTAGGGGTGTACAAACTGAACCGGAAAACTGCACCAAACCGAAAAATCAAACCAAACCGATTAAAAAACCCGAACCAAACTGACATATAAATATATAATTTTTTATATAGAATTTTATTTAAAAGATGTCTAGAAATATTTGAGATCCTCTCATGGGATATAATTTAATAGAACTATAAAGTGCATTTATTTTTATTTACTTTAAATAATAGATTGTATCACTTTCTTATTATGTATTATTGAAATGCATCAATCATCTCTTTGTTTTTTTATATTCATATGTCAAGATTTCTTATATCTTTTTCGAATTTGAAGTGGTATTTCGATAATTTAAAATTACATAGAACATATCATTATTTAGGTATCATATTGATTTTTATGTTTGATTATTAAATTTGGTTAACCCTGAAAGCGTACATCCACCAAAAATTATTGGTAGACGACTAAGAAAATAAATTATAATGTGTTACTAAAAAGATTCTCCCATGAGATCACTTTAATAGATCATATGTTAATTTCTTTTTTTTTTTTAGTAAACATATATTCACTTCTCAAAATAGTATCTATAACTTTAATAGTGCAAGATTGAAATAATATTCACGTAATAAAAAAATCCAAAAAATCCGACAAAACTGAACCAATCCAAACCGATATAATTGGTTTGGTTTGATTTTGATAAAATCCAAAACCAATCCGGTCCATGTACACCCCTAGTTACGAGACAGTAACAAGAAATTGTAGACTTCTTAGCAGTTCCGTAATCCATATTATAATTATACAGTTTGACATGTTACGAGACAATAATAAGAAAGTGTATACTTCTTAGCAGTTCCATATTATAACTATTATTTTTTGTAGGTGGTGCATGGCATTGAGGGAGCAATTGGCTTCAACAAGACAGCCTCAAGACTATATGCAACCATTGATCTTCAAAAAGCCAGAGTTGGCAGAACAAGATTGTTAGATGAACACAAAAACCCGCGGTGGTATGAGTCTTTCCACATTTACTGTGCTCATATGGCTGCAGATGTTATTTTCACTGTCAAAGTTGACAATCCAATTGGAGCAGAACTCATTGGTAGAGCTTACTTGCCAGTTCAAGAACTACTAGATGGAGAAGAAGTCGATAAATGGCTTGAAATCCTCGATACAGAACGAAAACCTGTGCATGGACACTCTAAAATTCATGTGAAGTTGCAGTTTTTTGATGTTACAAGGGAATATAATTGGAATAGAGGGATAAAAGTCACAAGATTTCCTGGTGTTCCTTACACATTTTTTAGTCAAAGACAAGGATGCAAAGTCACCCTTTACCAAGATTCTCATGTTCCTGATAACTTCATCCCAAAAATCCCTCTTGCTGGTGGGAAATTTTACGAGCCACAACGATGTTGGGAAGATATTTTCGATTCCATAACGAATGCAAGGCATTTGATTTACATAACAGGATGGTCTGTTTATACTGAGATCACTTTGGTAAGGGACACAAGGAGGCCTAAACCAGGTGGAGACATAACGCTCGGGGAGTTGCTTAAGAAAAAAGCTAATGAAGGTGTGAGAGTTCTAATGCTGGTTTGGGATGACAGAACATCGGTTGGTGTGTTGAAACAAGATGGACTAATGGCTACTCATGACGAAGAAACTGCTAATTTTTTCCGAGACACTGAGGTCAATTGTGTGTTGTGTCCTCGAAATCCTGATGATGGACGGAGCATTATTCAGAATATAGAGATTGGAACAATGTTTACTCATCATCAGAAGATTGTAATTGTGGATAGTGAAATGCCTAATGGAGACAATGAGAAGAGGAGAATTGTGAGTTATATTGGTGGGATTGATCTTTGTGATGGTAGATATGATACACAATTTCACTCCCTTTTTAGGACATTGAACACTGCACACCATGATGATTTTCACCAAGCAAATTTCACTGGTGCCTCAATACAAAAAGGGGGACCAAGAGAGCCTTGGCACGATATACATTGTCGATTAGAAGGGCCAGTTGCTTGGGATGTACTCTACAATTTTGAACAGAGGTGGAGGAAGCAAGGCGGAAAGGACTTGCTTATAAAGCTAGGGGATATCGACAACATTATTACTCCACCTTCACCTGTTATGTATCCTGACGATCATGACACATGGAATGTTCAAGTTTTTCGATCAATTGATGGAGGAGCAGCTTTCGGCTTCCCTAATGCTCCTGAGGAGGCAGCCAAGTCTGGCCTTATTAGTGGCAAGGACAATATCATTGATCGAAGCATACAGGACGCGTATATTAATGCTATTCGTCGAGCAAAGCATTTCATCTACATCGAAAACCAGTACTTCTTAGGTAGCTCCTTTTCATGGTACTCTCATGATATCAAGGATGAAGAAATCAATGCTTTACATTTGATCCCAAAGGAGCTGTCTTTGAAGATAGTTAGCAAAATCGAAGCAGGGGAAAGGTTTACAGTTTATGTTGTGCTTCCAATGTGGCCAGAAGGACTTCCTGAGAGTGGATCTGTACAAGCAATACTGGATTGGCAGAGGAGGACTATGCGAATGATGTACACTGACATAATTCAAGCTCTAAAAGTAAAGGGAATTGTGGCAAATCCAAGGGAATACTTAAGTTTCTTTTGCCTTGGCAATAGGGAAACAAAGAAGGGAGGAGAATATGAGCCTTCTGAGACACCAGAACCTGGTTCAGACTATAGTAGAGCTCAAGAAGCTAGGCGTTTCATGATTTACGTGCATGCCAAAATGATGATAGGTAAGTATAATTCTTTAATCAGTTAAACAGTGTTATCAAAGGTGCGCTTAAGCCTTAAGCCCTGAAGCGAGGCTCAAACATGTTGAGCGCTTCGCCTCGTTTAGCGGGCGCTTCAGTGTTGTCATCAAGGCTCTAACGCATACTTTTCCTTGCTAATGAGCATAATCCGAAAGTTGGGACACTAAGCAATTGATATTTCACTTTATCGTAAATTTTTTTCAATTTCTTTGTCCATATATTTAGTGTTCATGCTTATAGATATTAGTCTTGGACTATACATACATATTTTGTAGTTTTTCTCCATTTGCGCCATTCTTTGCATTTTGCGCTTAAAGCCCCAACAAGACCTTCGAACTTTTTTGCGTTTTTCGCCTTTGATAATACTGCAGTTGAAGCTAGAAAACATTGAGATATATTAAGTTTTCAATTCTTGTTTTTGTGTGTTCTTTTTTTGCAGTGGATGATGAATACATTATCATAGGATCAGCAAACATAAACCAAAGGTCAATGGATGGAGCAAGAGATTCAGAAATAGCAATGGGAGCTTACCAACCATTTCATTTATCAGTGAAGGAGCCAGCTAGGGGTCAGGTTCATGGTTTCAGAATGGCATTGTGGTATGAACACTTGGGCATGTTAGATAACAGTTTTCTTTATCCAGAGAGCACCGAATGCATCCGAAAAGTGAACCAAGTTGCTGATAAATATTGGGATTTGTATTCAAGTGAGAGCCTGGTTCATGATTTGCCTGGCCACTTGCTTACTTATCCTATTGATGTCACTGAAAATGGAGAGGTCACTGAACTACCTGGAACACAATACTTCCCTGACACCAAGGCTCGAGTTCTCGGTACCAAATCTGATTTTCTACCACCCATTCTCACTACTTAATAAGCTCATTGGGATCGAGCTCTGAGAATGAAGTTCTCTTTGGTAGGGAACGCTAAAACCTCTATAGTGAGCTTTCTATGGCACGAATCCACATTAATCGAACAAGTGAACATCGAATATCGGATGATTATACCAAAAAAAGAAACAAAAGGGTGCTACTATATTTTTTAGCATATATAGCAGTTTGTTTGTGTAGTTTCATTACCGGTTACCAACTTGCCACTACTACTTGTATTTTCTACTGATGATGTTACTGTCAAACCAATTTGTTACTAGCTTATTGAGATAACTTCTGTATCCTAAGGTTGTTCAAGAATTGCGTTTCAGTTTATATGTGGAAGAAACTCGAAATTTTATTCTTTTGTTAGACTCCAATATTTAGTTAAAAAATCTATTGCTGGAAGAAAATTTAATATTTTTTCCATATTCTTCAATGAGAGGTGATAAGCTATATCTCATTGAAAGGACTTGATTATCCATCTTGGTTTTTTGACATCGACTCAGTTGCTAGGAAGTATGTTCCCCAAATTCTCAAATGCCCATACCTTATTTGGAGTTAGAGACGACTTTTCCAACAAGTTGCACAGCGTCTTATTAAACGCCTAAGCTAGCATTGATATCAGCATATTATATAGAAGGAGCATGTTGTTTGAAACCAAAGTGATCACAAGTCCAGCATATTATATAGAAGGAGCATGTTGTTTGAAACCAAAGTGATCACAAGTCCAGCATATTATATAGAAGGAACATGTTGTTTGAAACCAAAGTGATCACAAATCTTGGTTATTAGTTTTACCAAATAGCTTACCATTGCCCGTCAGTACATTTCAAGAAATGCTGGAAAAAAAAAGATGATATTCACCCTAATGAAGTTTGTGACATTTTCCAATTAGGAAGAGGGGATAGATGTTCCACAGGGTCATGCAACTTAACCCTTAAAGAGATGTAAGGCAGCCAACATAAACAATCTGGATTTCCCATGAGTAGCACTGGAAATAAGGAATAATCACACAGCTTTAATCATCAACAAATTGGCATATTGTACTATTATCAGTAATCCATTTGCAGAACTTCTATGCACTAGACGAAGAAAATCTACATCAAAACATTTTCTTTTGGCAGGGGTGGCTGGGTGAAGGTAGCTGTACTTTCATCTGCTGTTGCGCATATCATAGACAGCTTCATGTCTGCAGTCATGTAATCTACTAGTTTGTACCAAAGCAAATATTTTTAGTAGCAGCATCTTCATCCACCCACGCGATAAGACCTCCCTCTGAACGCTACACCAGAACTCCTATCAGGTTGTGCACGATTAATTGGTGGTACACCTATCCTCCACCGTGTTACAAGTTTATGTCTATGAATCAGC